TTTTTTTTCTAATTGCATTCGACTGTTGTCTTGCATTGCAAACCTTTACAGGATGGTAGACTGTCGCTCCATTTTCCTTTCATGCAAGTTATTTTTGCTGATCCGACCAACGTGAAGTTTGTGCGACATGTTATTTCAACCTCACCACCTTCCTTCAAAGTAGCGTGTGTGATGATACCATTCTTTATTGAATCCACGACAGGACAGGAAGCTATAATAATGCAATGACAGGAACAAATATGTCAACATATATGTTAAAAAATTCCATTGCCAGTCAGTTCATTACTTAAATTAAATGGCGTATCTTATGTATTGAACTGAGTGCAGATTTCGTTCTCCACTGAAAAAGATAACGTACCTATGCAACTGAATTCCCTCTTAAGCCACACAGTCTGGTTACACACCATGATTGGCGACCCCTTTAGGTAATATCCATCGCGACAGGCCAGAAAAATGTGAGTCCCATGAATGTAGTTCACATGATTTGTTTGAGGATAAATGATGTAGGCGTTACTCGGAAAGGTAGGTTTTGAGCATAGCGTTGCTAGAGATGGAAAGGACAAAAAGAAGGGTGCACTTTAGCTAATAGTTGCAATTGTGTGAATTGTAATCGTGCTACAGTAGAAAGATAACTCTTAAGCTAAGTTATCATTCAAAGCTTTGTACGTACCGAAAAGACGTCAGTTTAGGCTCTGCCCTGGGAAACATTTTTTAAACATCAAAATTAAAACAACAAAATTCAATCTATCAGGGAAACAAAACTCGCCGCTTTCCTTGGACCAAATCATTAAATGTTTATATTGCATACTCATCTTGGAAAGAAGAAAATAAAAATCTGTTAGGGCCCCTATGTGGGTACGGCTCAAAAGTGAACCCCTTATCAGTTCTTTTCAATTTTCATTTCCCTATATCATACAAATGTTGGACAATGCTGAAAAAACATAAGACCCTGAGAAACAAACGGGGTTAGAACAGACAAAAACCATTTAATTCTATTCTTGAATCGTGGAACGAGTTAGCTGACGTTTTATGAATCAACATTTCCTATTTCATAGTACCTCATAAGAGTCTTCTCACCTTTGCATACTGGAACACTGGAATTCCATCTGCCATGGATACAGCGCAGTGCACGATCACCAACCAATTCGAATCCAAGCTTACACTCAAACGAAACAACTCGACCATGAGAAAAGCTTGTTCCAAATATTCGACCATTTGGCGGATACCTAATCTCCAGGCAATAGGCTAAGCACAAAATATGAGCATATTAGCAGCTTTGATCCTGTTCAGCACTAGCTTCGAGTAGCCACTTGGAATCTTGAATGTGGAGTTCTCTTACTGACATTTAAAGCTCACTAATGATTAAATCTTGTGGATAAATTAAATATGTAACAAGGATGAAAGATAGGTGATTTACCTTTACAAGTTGGTACATTGGCACTCCAAACTCCATCATTACATGTCAAAGTGGGCGACCCGAATAGATCAAAACCTGTCAAACAGGCAAAGTTTGCCTGGGCACCATGAGTAGTGTCAGATCCATGAAGGGTAACGTTAGGAGGAGCTCGAAGACGTGGACACGACTTTAGCCCTGTTAATAAGAAACTTGCATGTATATCAATATCTGAGCCTGAATTGAAATCGACCTATCGTAAAAAATTGTATTGGTTTCAGAGATCGTCTGTAGACATCAGAGGCTTCAATACATTTAATTTTGTCATGGAAATCGATGGGTAAGAATTCTCTTTTTATTATTACAAAATGCGACCACAAAGTAAATGAATAATATACTTCATTTACTTTTCGTAGGCTAAGTATGAGTGAAAGCCGGTATACGATCGATTAAAATATTTATTTGCGGATTGTTTCCAACCTTTGTTCTCAGGAAGTATAAGTACTTGAAGCTGAAATGGAGGGCTTTTTTAGTAGGTTGAGTAGTTGCTATGGTAGTTATGCATGTGTCATGAAGATGCCCTCGACTTGTTTAACAATAATTGGGCATTTGCAGGGTACCAATATTGTAACATCTCTCGATTAAAGTGTGTTAGTATTGATCTCTCAACTGCTGGAAAGTGCTATCTAGATTACGAATAAGGCGAAGTGCTGAGTAGCACCTCCAACCAAGTTCGACACCTTGGCTTTTAATATTTTGATGAATGCAATACTCTGTAACGACAACTTACTCTCACAAAACGGTAGCTTTCCGTTCCATCTTCCATCAACGCATTCCAGGCTTGGTGTACCGACCAGTCGAAACTTTTCATTGCAACGAAATTCCACGGCCGCCTGTCCGATATTAGGGCGTGTTTCAATAACTTGACCATTCGAAATTTGACCTAGGTCTGGACAAAACCCTGTAAAAGAATAAAACGTAGTCATGAGACTAAAAGGCGAATGTATAAAAAATAAATTATACACTTGAGATGCGTGAGAAACATATAACATCTAAGAGCCTATCGCAGAAATTGTTCTCTTATCTCAGTCTTAATCATCTCTATGAAAAAATACGAACTTGCAAATAGACCAGCTACAAGTTAGCTTGATGGCTCAGTCGGTAGATTACTGCACAGGTACAGCAGAGATCATGGAACTGAGTCCTGGATTTTCGAAGGCAGTTGCTAAAGCAATGCCCCAAGCTAGCTAGCAGTACAAACTGGATCGACTGAAAAACAAACCTTGAAAAGGGACTTAAAGGCATAGGGGTTTAGGGGTTTATAACTTACACTCGCCATACGCTTGTGAAGGTAGAACTTTGAACCAGGTTTTAAGTAAAGTGCCGAAAATACAAAAGTATTTGAAACACATTGACATCTTTGGCGAAACAATGGTTTGGTCACTGTAGTTTCTCAAACGAACCAGTAAAATCAGTTGTCTTAAACACTACACCACTTTCGTCAAAAAAGGAGTCCTGAATGAAAACACCCTAACAGATAACCTGAGGTACCCAAGTCGAAAGACAAAATTAAACTCTTATGGGCAAGTTTCCATAGTTTGTGAAGTTCACTCGTATTCTTGCTTGCTTGTTTGTTTGTTTGCTTGCCGGTTCTGAGGTGTGGCTAATTCAACAAGAACGGATAAAATATTCAAATGATTCCGGCTAAATATTATAGAACTATAAATTGATCTCTGGTGGTACCTTCTAGGATGTCTGTTTTGGTACATATTAATTTATCATATTTACATTAATATTTTAGGCTGCAATGCTATTTGTTTTAACTCACCCCTTCAAGGGGTAAAAATGGATTTATGCTCCATTCCACTAGGAGAGAACTGAGGAGATGATGGCGAGTGAAATGAATGTTTCCTTATAAAACTTCTGCGAGAAAATCTTTGCAATAAACAAAGAGCATCATGTCAACATACCCACACATCTGAACTGCCTTTGTGTCCAGATACTCCCAAGGCATTTTATTATAGGTTTTCCAACCAGGTAAAAGCCTTGTTTACAACCAAACAGCACCACGCTTCCTTTTTCGTACTTTTCTTGATCTGGTGGATGAATTATGGTTGAGCCACGAGGAGGAATAGGTGGACCACACGTTAAACCTTTAGAAGAAGATAAATACATAAAGTAAAGGAATATTTACCACCAAAATATTACAGAACTGCGAATTTTCAAGTCACAAAAAACGGAGGAGTGCTTGTGTTTGGCTAATACGAATGGCGTTATAAAACCCGTGACAGATTTTTCTTTAATAATCGTCGTTTGGCGATAGAAAATTCAGCAAGGATTAAAATAATGGAAAATATTTTACTGCTCTTAAAAGAACTTCTCATTGCTGTCATTCTCCCACATCACTCCATCATGAGGTTAAAGCAAGTCACCAGAATTAGTATCATCATAAGACAGGCGGCTGTTGCTGGAATGTTCACTAAAGCAGCAAATTCAAAGAGCTACGAGCTACGAGTCTCTAGAGTCTCTGCACAGGTTGGCGCCAGAATGTCTAAGTTCTAAATTCGAGAGGCAAGAAACCACACATAATCCAAGGGACTCTGAGAATAAAC